ATGGAACCAAAAGGAAGGCTCAACTCCTGTACAAACTGTACACTTATTAAGTGTACAGTTTGTACAGGAGTTGAGCCTTCCTTTTGGTTCCATCATGTTCCGTCCAGTTATGCTTTTAACATCTTGTAACCTTCTGTCCTTCCTCTTCAGGTGGATGGATCCTTTGAGGGTTTTCCAGATTGGAAGTTCCAGACTTCCAGACCTTTAACATCCAGTCAAAACATGCAGAAGTGATCCGTCCCTGGATCCACCCCTCGTGTTGTCCTCTGTGATCGAACGATTCGGGCAATGAAGCGTCGTTCGCGCAGGTGCACCAGTCGATCCCCAGTCTCCCAAGGCGGAGCCCCAGGAGCTTCGTCTGCAGCGAATCTTCGGTAACCCGGTCCGGGCGCCCAGATGAGACGGAGAGGTGCAGAAGAATGAAGCAGACAGCAGACCCGTAAAGAGGCTGCATGTCATGATTCTTGTCTTGCTGAGAGGTTATATGAGGTCATAAGCTCTTTTTCCAGCTCAGCTGTAGTTCTTCTGCTTTTTTGGGTCTCAGTCTACGTGTAAAGATCTTGAAGCTGTCGGATTGAAAGCACTCTGCTTTTCGGCTGTTTCTTGGCCTCGTTGTCCGACATAAATCGTTGTTTCTGTTGGGTGGGGTAACCCCTAGAACAATAGCTGCTAAGGATGGAGTGCCGCCAACTCCAATGCCATACCACAGTCAAACAGAAGAAGCACCAGGAGCGAGTGCGGGAAGTGGGCGGAGATCGTGAATGGACATACGGAAACGAGACGTACTCCATCATTGGCGGTGGAGATCAAAGGAATGTCCACTTCAAATCGTTGGTCTCCTGGACGATTTTCTTCAGGTCTTTCTGACTTTCTGATTTATATATTTCAACACTCCAAACAACATGTGAACCTTATGCTCGTGTCCATGAAGAATAATGAGCTTAGGAGGACCTTCCAAAGCACCACTCCCAATTTGCATGACTCTGTGACCGCTCCCTGCTCCCTGCACATCTACTCGAATTGGATATATTCTTATGTTGGTCCTAGCGGCCTTAGGGGCTAATACGGTGCCGGGAGTTCAATATGTTTAAGACATGCGTTCAATCCAGTTCAATCGACAGCACACTATTATATATTTTTATAAAAGTTAAAGTATGACCTGACTTACTAAGGAGAAAAAACGCATGAATGAACCAACCTTAGTATTATATACCGTACTTTTACTGTGCGCTGAAAACAGCCAACGCAACCCCACAGCGGAACTGTAACAATGCAGACTAACATGGAACCTAGCTGATGATAAGCACCCTTGATTGATTGCCTGATTCCTCAATTCTGTAGAATTGATCTTCTTGTCGTCTCTAGAGACTTTCTGCTTGAAGCTCCAGAGGATCGTCCGATGATTTCGGTGTACTCCGATGATTTCAGTGATTTCTTTTGAAGGACACGGGTATTTCAATCTATTAGTCTATCATAGTCCTGTCTTTCGGTGAAGAATTCAAAAGCGTTTGATCACGATCCCAAAAGAACAGTGATTCGGTGCCACCAATTTGGTCCTGCCACCGGTGAGGGCTGGCACCAGGGCACCCATCCATTGCGGAGTTCCTGGCGCTTGACCAGGTGCGAAGTGAGCTTCTGTGGATGTTCCGACCCGAACGAACGGGCCAGACAACTGGTTGAGCCGACAGAAAGGTCTGTGGGTCAAAACTGGGGGACCTCGGTTTAGGTTTTTTTTCCCAACGCAACATGGACTAAGGAACGTGTGCTCCAGGTTTTGACCCACAGCTCAATTCATTTGGTATTGTTAAGCAGGAAACTATCTCTCATTTGGGCCTCCAGGTGAGAACTACGGGATCGGATCAGGGTTTTACTTTGGTGCGAAGGTCATCAGAAACCGTGGGAATGACTCTTCGTACCAAGGATGTGCAGGAGATCCGATCGGGATCTACCCTGGAGGGATAGCAAATGACATCAAACGACGCTGCATTATGAACAAGGAATTGAGAAAGACTCGTCTTGAGGATTCTTGAGATTCTTTCCGGCTCGGTGAATGAATTCACATGTGCACAGGAGTTTCTGATAGGGAAAGAATGACAGAAAAAACAACAAGCACAGAACAAAAGGGAGAAGGCAGAAAGACAGAAAACCGGAAGGAACGACTGGCCGACAGAAAGAAAGAAACAAGGAAACAAAGATAGAAATAGAAAGCCAAGAAAGAAATGAATAAGGAATGAAAGAAGCAATAGAAAGGAGGAAAGACAGGCTGAACGAAACAAAGACAGAATAACAACAAAAAGCAGAAAGCTACGCAGAAACACTGCATGAGAGACAAAAAGAGAAAAGGACAACTATATATACATAGAAAAGCAAAAATATAAAGCAGGAAACACACACAAAGAAAGACCAGCAGAAAGAAAGAAACACCAACAGAAAAGAATAAGATGTGCAACAAGCAGAAAGGAAGAGAGAAAGACAGAAACGCAGAAGGAAAACAGAAAGACAGAATAACTCAGAATACGGAAAGAACGAAAGAAAAAAGACCACCAGCAAGAAAGAACGAACAACATGAAAAAAGAAAC